GTCAGGGCGGCTAGGGTCTGGAACCAGCTTCCAGGTGAGGTGGTGCAGGCTCCCACCCTGGGGGTTTTTAAGAGGAGGTTGGATGACCACCTTACTGGGGTCATTTGACCCCAGTGCTCTTCCTGCCAAGGCAGGGGGTCAGACTAGATGATCTGCTCAGGTCCCTTCCGACCCTAGAAACTATGAAACTATAAGGCCTTTCAAGAAAAAGGTGCTGTGAATCCTTATTTTAAAAACTGCAAGCTCAAAAATATCTTAATTTAAAAAGTCCTGTGCTGGGAGTATGACTACTTATTCTTTAGCCAATTTAACTTGGGAACATTTAACTCAAGAGACACCTTAAAACAAATCATATGCCCAGATATATTACCTGGCCAGACAACCAACCACAAGTTACTGTTCTTTAGGACAGAGGCTCCGAAACTTTTTGGGCCAAGAGACACCTGTTAATCATCAACACTTTTTATGGACCACTAAATAGTCTCATTAGCAAGCTTTTAATCAAGAACATTATGAAAGGTACCTGGGGTCCAGTATCATCTGCTGATCAGTTTGGAAACCAGTGCCTTAAGACTATCTTTTAGGTTTTTTCAACAGCTGCTGGTACTTCCCTGGGCTGCTCAAGATGCATGACTACAGCCCACCTCTTAGGAAAAGCAAGCTATTCATATCCCCAAAAACTATACATTTACAACATTATATATATCTATGCCCTTTTTTTAATATCATATTACATGTGGACACCACCCAAAGGTATTAAAGGCCTATACTGTGAATCATTCAGGAAAGAATATTTAAGTTTTATGGAAAAGTCCCTGCTTATATAATAAGAAGCAACCAACAACTGAGCAGAGAGTGCTGTACCTATATTCTTCAAGGCACAATCCTAAGTAATCAGATTGTAGCATATAACATGACCCACTAATACAAAAGCAATATAGAAAATACAAGTACTTTCAGAGAATGCTTTAACAGGAACCAGTGACCAAGTGAAAACTGCCTTTAAAAATATTTCTTTTAGAATAAGTTTCTCTCACAAACATGTCAAATACAGCTGCCTTTCAGGAACATATTTGTTTAGGCTACAAAAAATATGGTCTCAAACCATGCCTATACATCTCATGTAACTCCTGTTTACTGTGCATAGTTCCAGTGAAGTCAGCATAATTATTCATAACATACAAAACTAATTCTGTACACGGTTGGGAGCCCTGCATGGTTTAAAACCTATGCAAGGTATACTCACCTCTGCCTTCTTTCTTCATCCTTCAATACTTCATAGATAGCCACCAACTGAAACAAAAGCACTGCATTTATTAACATATTCCAAATCTCTAAGAAATAAAAGGGCTCATACTTCCAAATCTTTACATTTAAAAAAAGGGCAGTTTTAGGATTTCCCCTTGCCCCTGAATAATCCTGCTACTCTTGTAGTTTTACAATTCTTATTTTCCTGTACTCGCATTTGTTTTTCTTTCCTGATTGAGGAAAATTAACAGACTGTGCAAAGGAAAAAAAATGATATCCCTATACACATGTTGTCAGATGTACAAAGCATGCAAATTTTAAAATTAAAGGTTTTCCCTCTCAAATCTCTCTCGCTCTGCTGTTGCTATCTTTCTCAAATAGAAGGGTCAGAAAGAAAACATAATTTTTAAGGTGATGGGCATCTCTTCAATGGTCCTAACGTACCCTCATTATTAAAGCCGCATAGCAAATTGCCTTGATTTAGTAAACTATTGTGAAATGGCTGAGTCTGACTTGACAGTTGCATGTTATTGCCCTGTTAAGACTAAAAGGGAAAAACACTCGAGACTTGAAAAGAATTACTGCCTTAACTGATAAAACTTACTTAAAAATGGTGGAACATTTTCCTAAGCTTCCATTAAAAAGGTCAGTGCATGTTTACAAGCAATGTCTTCATGTAGAGAAAATAAAATATTCATTTTCCTGTTAGCAGTATACAGCTACATTTTTAAATACTTCTGTATTAAAAATATTCAAATAGCTGCATTCTAATTTGAGATACTCTTTAGATGACATTTGTTCAGCATTAAATCCAAATAAAACAGGAATAAATTTCCTTTTTAATAAAGGCGATCAATTATTTCAGAAAATATTTTGTTGCTATCAAAACTATATTTTTATATAAATAAGTTACGTGATTATAAAAAAATGCCACTCCCCCCTCTTCTTCCCTCCCCCCCAAAGCATATTAAAGCACTTCACTTACTTGCCTGAACTGGGTTTCTGCATTTTCATCTTTGTTCTTGTCTGGGTGTAGAGTTAACGAAAGCTTACGATATGCTTTCCTAATGTCCGCAGATGAAGCATCCTGCAAAAAACACAAAGCAAACTTTGTCAGAAACAAATTGCCAGAACTTTGTTAAGATCTGAGAAGACAGCCAACCAAGTGCAGGACCTGAGGCAATGTAATTTGAGCAATCAGTCTAACAACCAAGCTATGCAGCTAGCCTGACCCACATGACTGAACAACCATTCAATCTAACTCCGCTCTCATCTTAACTTCTTTCATTACCATACATTCATTACAAGAGAATTTGCCAAAACTTTCAAATACTTTCTTAAAAATTAACTAATAAATCTTCTATGCCAATTAAAAGATCAAAAGACAAATTAAAAATTAATACATCTGTGTATCTTCAAGGAAGTCACCATTCTTTCAAATTATTATGCTCATTTTCGAATTTCAGGCCCTTCTGCATGCTGTTCCCTTAACATTATTTACATCTAATTCAATATTTATAGGACTTTCATGCAATCTAATTCCAGTAAGTCTTAAGAACTGTCCTTTTTTGAAGTAGGTTCAGCTTGTATTTAATTTTGGACCACCATAACTAGAGCCAATATATATTTCTGGAAGATGTTAAAAAGAATACATTTGTACCCTACAAGTTTCTCTTTTATCTTTCTTATGTTTGTGAAAGAGTGCCTATAAACAAAATATTGAATTAATTACACATGTACAACAGACTACTGCATATATTCGAAGTATACAAAGTACATTATGAAATGTCCGAATAAGAGAGATTAAAAGAGGCTATATTTATTGCCCATTATAGAATATATAACAAAGCATCATGTTATAAACCAAGAACGTGTGTTTCACAGCAAATACCTTGAAAGATAGTATGTCAGAATGATGCTAGAATTTTCTCATATCTAAAAGACTCCAATATAAATAAAGAACAAAAACTCCTTTATCAGTTTAACGTGCTGAGATAAGCCTGTCATGCAATTTAAAATTTCTTGGCTTTAGGATTTATTTTCCAAGATATGTTTTAAGATGACTGTATCAACAGGGATAAATTAAAAACAAAACAAATAAACAAAAACAGACCTGAATTAGCTGTTAGAGGAGCAGAGCTGATACAAGACAATTAAAGCAACACTGTAATTAGTCTGCCAAGCTTTCCATTACAAACCATTATTTTAATTACAATTTTTAAGGCTTATGGCATCTTGCTATATTGCTGTACAAAAGTTATAGCCAAAGACTAAATATTCTTTGAAGGACTGACATGCAGTATCAGAGGGAATCTGAGGGAGAGTTCAGTTATGAAATGGAATATACAATTCTAAGATAATTGATCTAAGATTTTAAGATAAAATGCTGTTATCCTATAAACTATACAGAGTTTTGCAGGTTAAGCAAGTAAACAACAATTGTTCTGACAATTTAGAGGAAAGCTGGAAGTTTGTTTTTGAAACAAAAGAATTTTCAACTGACATACAAAGTGTGCACACCCAGTGGAAGTCTTTCTGTATAGCTGCATTTTATGGTTTTTACTTTGCTTTCTGGAAGCAAGGAAAAGAGGGAAAGGAAGAGGCACTGTGAGTTGCTGTTGGCATTTCAAGTATATGGGAACATTTTGTTTTCACATGAAAATTTAAAGAGTTAGATGGTACAGCTTGTAGTTTAGCCTCACATTCTCTCTTTTGACTTCATCTGCTCATGTTTGGCTTATGTTGAGATTTTTTTAATTTTATTTTGAAGACCCAAATGAGTTTTTCTTGTCAAAGGCCCACTGAAAGCATTATAAAGCACTGCTGGAAATACTGTCACAGTCAGGTGCTTCCAAAGTATTTCAGCAATATGTGTACAGGGTTTTCACATTTAAAAGGAAAATTTAAATTAAATTATGCTCCCTCCAAAATATAGACTATTTACTTGTGGAAGATTTCAGATCTGCTGTTTACTGCTGCTACAGCAAAATGTTTTAAAAATTCTCAAATGGGATCTCTTTCATTCCCACTGAAATTTGTTTCTTATGCTCAGTATTAAAAAAAGGAAACAAGGGAATAGGAGTATATAGAAACTGTAAAGTAAGTTTACTTTTAAGCTTAAGTAAAACGGAGCAATAATGAAGTACGATATCATGAAATATGATATCAAAGTTGACTTATTTACACTAAAAACTTACTGGATAGATATGTAGGAAGTAATTTAACGACTACATTGTTTACAGCTGCTGATCCAGTTAGACATCTCACCTATGTCCTGGACTTACCTTCAACACACAGCATTATTGTATTTAAGTATAATTTTGGAGAATCATGGTAGCAGATATGACAACAATGGCTTCATAGTCAAAACCAGGACAAATCACATTCAGCATTGTGACAGATAATCATGATTAACCCCGCAGTGAGGGGGAAAAGAGGGAAGAAGAAATAAGAACAGGGATGAATTATATTCAATATCCTTCCATATTTAGCTGAAATTATGGAATACAGCTTCTCTTAGACTTCACTGGTCCTAAAACTGCAGTCAACATATCTAACTTTTCTTCACAACTGTATTCAAGCACAATGGAATTCTGTAGTGCTAACAGACCCCTTGCTATTCTGTTTAGCAAGAAGAGAGTCTCTGGGTAACACTGGACACCTCCAGAAAAGTTTCCAGCCTACAAGTCTAAGTACAGACAATCAAAAAGCCTGAGGCTGAATCAATTCCATCTTTGCATGTTAATCTAAGCTGCACAGATTGAACCAATAAGATAGTGAACAGATATTCACTTTCTGATTCCAGAAATGTAGCCACTTGCCTGCAGTGGCCCAGGCCACAAGCTGGGGGGGCATTAGAGCACACCTCACTGCTTCACTGGAGCAAGTAGCATGGGCCAAGGCAAAGCCACCCAACCTGCAAGGGGGAGAGGGGTTGGTGGGGAGGTACAAAGCATACTGGGATGTTTGGGGACTGCGAGTTAACTTGAATCTGGAGGGATCAGGGACAGAAGTTCAATAAACAGATTTATCCTAAATCAGTTAAGTCTGATACTACATCCATCCAGGTTTACCTTAAACTTATTTTGGTCATTTTGAAAGTGATCTATGTGAACTGAACTTCTGTTGTGTTACAGATCTGAACCACTTTCCAATCACTTTTACCAGCCCACATAATTTCCGTCCCTAACCCAAGAGACAAAGGAGTCACGGAACCATATATACTTACAGGTTTGAATTCTCCCCTCCCCACTCCTTAAAGACCAGGCTTTGAGGACTACTTGGAGGGCTTTGTTCACAATTAAATAAACATTAGGTTCTTTTCATTGTTTCTAGTTGGGGGGGAGTTAATTAAAAAGCACATGTGAAAGCATAGACATCTAGTGGTGCTCCATAAAATCAATTTGCTAGATGTATCCCTGACACCGAGTTCCATGTTGACAACTGTCTTGTCACTGATGACAAACTACTGGTTTAATATTATTTCCCTCATGTGGGATCACAGCACTATTTCAACCAGTTTTCCTAACTCCAGGTAATCTATAATCCCATAATGCAGCATCATACTGCAGATAAGAAAAAGCACATACCTGATAACTAGCATTCACTTGCATGAGACAAACATATTGTCCTATGTGTCCTCATATATTGGCTTAGAGACTCTGAACTTAATGAAAGCCAGCAATCTAGGAACTAAGCTGGTACGATTCCCTTATCAATGGCTGAATCAGTACATCAGTACTGGGCTCTTCAGTGTTCTTTTACAACAAATGATCATGTTCAGACATTATGGGTAAATAATGTATTTTCCCAAATCAAGCCGTAACTAAAAAAGGAAAAAGCAACATTTGCTGACTTGTTATTTATGCAAAATAACTGCAACAGAAATTAATTTAAAAAATTGGACAGAGACCAAGAATTAAAAATCTCAACCCCAAAGGTGTATATTATACCATGGGACAGTGTGAAAAATGGCAGCAAAGATTATTTAAAATAGAAAAATGTTCTCAACTTTCAGATGTTCTAAGTTTTGGAGAGTGAAAACTAATGTTTCAAATAATTCTCCCAATTACCAGATAGCAAGCTACTTCTCCCTTTCTGTTCACAGTTTTGGACATACTGCTGTGTTCATGTGAAGCAGGAGTGCAATGGAGTTTCCTCACAACAAAAGACAGCTTAGCTAAAGCGTCAAGGGAAATGATGAATGTATGTTCATATCTGCAGTTAACTATCAAATAGAGTTGGCCAAACTTCCTTAGATTTGGGTTTGAGGCTGAAGTTGAGTTGAACAAAAAATGCAGGATACAAAACATTCAAGTTGTACATGCCCCACACACATCATCTGCACACATCCCAACTCATAAATTTGTCATTAAGCCCCGTGGCACACATCATGTTTATGCCAAAATTAACATGCTAATCATACCATAAAGTGGCAAAGGTGCAACACTTACACCCAATTTAAGGCACCATAAGGCAACCAGCCATGAAAAAGTGTTCCACATACTGTATAAACAAAAAAAAAAAAATTTATGGTGCCTTAAATGGAATGTGTAGAATATCCACACATGGGGGCTGCTTGGGGGTGGATTCCTGACAATCAGCCCTGGGCAGCCTCCCATCTCCAACAGGCAGTGCTGACAATCTGGCTGGCACTGGCCTGGAGTAGCCCCAGGTCCCTAGCCAGCCAAGGGGTGCCCTGCAGGCTCCCCTGCTGAGGAGTTCAAACCCCTGCACTGGACAGGGGTTTAAATAAGGTTCCCAGTGGAAGGGAAGGGGGTAGGGGAGAAGAGTTGAAGGGTTTCCCCCACTGGGGACTTTGAACCCTCCAGCTGGCAGCTCATCTTGAACCAGACCCAGAACAGCCTCAGGTCACAGCAGGTGCTGTGGGCCCCTGACTTTCAACTGGCTACTGTACTGCACTGGCAGATAGAAAGGGCACAGCTGGGATCTGTTCCCTGATCCCAAAAATCACACCTCCTGCCATACACAGGTAGCACAGCTAGCAGCATAACTGTTGTGGGGGAGGGCAGATACCACAGCATCATTTAATGAATGTAGGCCAGGAGCACAAATTACTTCTTAGAA